GATCATATTCCACCACAACAGTGGTTCTGGACACTGGATATTTATTAGGATCAACTGAAAAAGTTTTATACAATGACCAAGACCTGGGTACCAGACCAATGAAATCATACTCTCTGGAGGTGGGCCTTGGGCAAAGTGGTTTCTAAAACCCCCTCCCTCGGTGACTATAATGCACAGCCATTGATCTAAGGCATTCAGTGGTTGGAATGCAAAAATAGTGACAGCAAAGACACTTCTTTGCCGATCTATTAAGCAAGAGAAATTTCAAGGGACAAGACTGAAAAATGAAGAGTCTATTCATGTATACTTGGGCTTTTAGGATTTTCCAGCCTTTGGAAAACCAGACAGTGATTCTGATTTCACAGTCCCGAAGACCTTTGGATGGTAAGTAGTAAGGTGAACAAAAATTCCATATGCCAGCCAAATACCCAGCAGTTAGCCCCAGTGGGCTACGTTCTTTTGAACACCTTGACAGCTTTTCTGGTAAAAAGACTGAGGAATTAGTGAGCTACGAAAGGAAAATATTTCACCAACCTTAAGCAGATTAGGCATCGGGTGGAATTCTAACACAGTACTGATATGATCAGCATAGTACAAGACAGCCCCTAGATCATGAGGAGGTGGCAGTCTATGCTTCTGGGCTGGACACAGACAGATAGACACATGCATGTGAAGATGCATGCACACACATGTGCTCACACACACACATACTCTTGCTCAGCTCTATGCCCTTCAACAAGTCACATGACCCATGGGCCTCTCTATCTCAATTTCAAAGGGCTAGAGCCGATAACCTCAAAAATCCTGTTAATCTATACAGGATGCCTAGACCATCGGAAGGCAGCATTTGAGGGTGAAAAAGTTGAATTTTCTTGCCCCCTTTTCCAGATTCTTTACTCCTACCGTGTTTCCCTGAAAATAAGACATCCTCCGAAAATAAAACCTAGCGCATGGAAAGATAAGACATCCCCTGAAAATAAGACATAGCGCAACTTTGGGAGAAAAAATTAATATAAGACACTGTCTAATTTTCGGGGAAACAGGGTAGTATATTTGAGCTTTGTTCAAAATGAGCCTTAGCCTAATTAGGTTCATTTTATCCCCAGATGTTGCAGAACAATGAGCTAGGTCAGAGCCTGAATCTGGGTTAGCTATAAATGTGACAGAGAATTGTCAACTGCTGTGAAACCGTGTCGCAGCTCCAACTATCCCACACATCAATGCAAGGAAGGGCAAGCAGCAATGTGAAAACACTCTTAGCAAAAAGGCTCTGGAAACTGGGCCTTCTGAAGTTTCATTTTGGAGGCAAACCTGAATGGGTTTGGTCTGTGTTCTCAGGGACTATGTCACAGTTGGGGAAAACCATGGACTAGTTACTCTCTATCTGCAACATGGAATGTAACCATGTGTGTGTCATGATGTGATTTCCGAAGACAGCTGCGATAACATGCAAAACTTTATGGCTTCCTAGTGGGGCATCACAGAGTCACCAAGTAACTCTATTTCCTCATTTGCCTCTTGCATGCCCCCTACCAGGGATTGAGCCTGCAACCCAGGCATGTGCCCTGACTTGGAGTCGAACCAGCAATCCTTTGGGGCATGGGACGATGCCCAGCCAACTGAGCCACACTGACCAGGATGCCCCTGTAATGCTTTTTTACAGACTGCTACGGGCCATGTAAAATGAATGAAAATGTATTCAGAGAAGCTTTGAGGGGGAAAATGGGCCAAGTGCTATTCACAAAGTTTATAACTCCAGAGATTATTAAAGGCTACTAGTATATAGGCAGCATCAGAATCAACTAGTAGTTATTAAAAAATAGATTCCTAGACTCCAGCCAGGGGGTGAAAGTTTCAGTAAACAGGTTTGGAGAGGGACATGGCACCTGCGCTTTGTTTGTTTGTAAGTTTAAAAAAAAAATGTTTTATTGAGTTTTTACAGAGGAAGAGAGAGAGACAGAAAGCTAGAAACATCAATGAGAGAGAAACATCTATCAGCTGTTTCTCGCACACCCCTCACTGGGAATGTGCCCGCAACCAAGGTACATGCCCTTGACCGGAATCAAACCCAGGACCCTTCAGTCCGCAGGCCCGTGGCACTATCCACTGAGCCAAACCTGTCTCGGCTTAGTAAGTTATTCTGATGTGCAGCCTAGTCTGGGAATCACAATGTACAAAAGATGCAGTTCTTTGGCTTCTTACCCAGGTGTGGCTTGCCGGTGTAGAGCTTTTCATAGAGAAAGGTGTGGTCTCGGAAGCTCTGAAGCGTGTTCCCCATGGCTATGATGGACACCATCACCAACCAGCTTCGTAACACATTCAGGAAACGGCTCATGGCTCCCTCAAATCTGAGAGGGCTTCTTGCCCTGGAAACAAAGGCAAAGGATGTGAGACAACAGATGGTTCATCTCCTATAACCATGAGCTCTCTCACCCCTGGGTCCCACTCCTAAGGGCTGTACTAAGCTTATTTGGTCACTTATTGATCACATAAATTCCTCAGCAAGCCCCCTAAGCCAGTGGTTGGCAAACTTAAGCTTGAAACCACTGGCACTAGACTAAATGTTACCACGTAGTTGGAAGCTGTGAGGATTAGGCAATTGTGGCAAACTGTGTGCAAAGAGGTAAATATTAGTACCTGACAGTAGTTGGCAAACTCATTAAAGCGGCAAACTGTAGCTCGAGAGCCAAAAGTGGCTTTGAGAGCCGTGGCTTGCCAATCACTGCCCTAAGCTCATCCTCCCTCATATATTAGTCACCTTAATATACTACTCATGGAATTAGCACACTGCCTTTCAATATTTTCCCTAAACCAAAATGTGCTGACCTTTACCCAGAGTGAAAAAGGCTAAATAATGCAGTAGGCAGAAATGACAAACCCAGTGGAAAAATTGGAGATTAAAAAAAAAAAAGGAGAAGAGGAGGTGTACAAATATTACTATAAAGTTAACAACATGGATTTACGTATAAGGCTTACAGAAATTGGTCTCAATATTTAGTCATACTAATAGTGATGAATCAACAGTATACTTTCCAATACATGGTACAGTAGTTATCTTTGACTTGAGTAATTTCTCTAAAATATTACCCTACATCAGAACACTTTCCTCTTGGCTCAATCAGTCCTCTTCTAGCTTTACTTCTAGGCTGGTTTTTCATGTCATTCCTTCACAATGCAAGTGGCTGAAAGGTAATTAGAAATCTAACAGATACCTGCCTGGCTACTGATGACAGATCCTTCCAAGCGCATAGAAGCTTTACACATTTCAGTGGAACCAATTGTGAGGGCAATATTTACATCCTCAGGATTTCTCTATTCTGGTTCTGAGGTATACCATAAACGAGAAGAACAACCTAAAAGTTAAAAATAAACTGCTGTGACTTGAGAACTAGTAAGAAATTACATGAAGGAAACAGCAGTGTCGGCATTGGGTTGCAGGAGAAATTATAGTAGCTAAGTTACTGGGCACTTATATGTGCCATGCACTGAGACAAGCACTTAACATATATTGTAGACATTATTAATATTTCCATTTTACAGATGAGGGTTGGCAGAGAGGTTAAGTGATTTGCTTGAAGTTTTACCGCTAATATATGGCCAAGCTGAGATCCGAATGAGATTCGTATCTACATTGCAATACTGCCTCAACTGTTTTGAGAATATTTTGACGAAGTTTCCATGCTTGAGGAAGACAAGCATACCATCCCCACTGTGTCTTGAAGTTGTACAGAAAAATAACATTAGATTATGCACTTTTTTTTTTAAAAGCTTAGATTAACCCTTGCTGAGCATTGATTCTAATGAGCTTGACTTAAATAAAACCCATGTAGATAAAGAATTTAATAATGGAATGATTTCTTCCCACCTTCATTATGGTTTTTTGGCCCACGGTTTATCTGCTGTCAGGTTAACTTCTTGGGCTTGAAGTGGTGACAAACTATCAGGCTTCCTTTGTCACTCTGGCAGTAAAAGTTTCAGTATGGTCCTACACTACCCAGATGAAACAGACAGTAAAGTCAGCCATGGCTCAAGACAGTGTGAAGCACCAAGAAACAACAACAACAACAACAACAACATCAAAATCTAGAGAGGAAGGATGAATGGAGGAATCCCTCAGGGAAAGGTGGATCACACTGTGGGCTTTGTCCAAATCTAGAGAGAATATGGTTCTATAAATATCACAATCAGTTAGTTACATCCTGGGCCAAGATTCCCCGACCCCCACCCCACCCCCATCCTCCTTCCTATTTTCTTACCGTCCCTCAATAGGAGACTCTTCTAAGGGTCAGAAAAGCTGCATGGATGACCCCCTCATTTTGACAACGTATGCCTTTCATTTCACAGAAGCTCTTAGACATTCCAACAGTTAGCTGATGAGGGGTGAGCCTGAGCATTCTTCTGAACTGCTCCCCCACTCCCTCGACCCATTTCCCTAAAGCTTGAGGGCCTACAAAGTATCCAACACCGATTCTCAGATTTTGCCCAGGCAGGTGTGGTGGTGAAACCTGAGTCAGAAGAGAGGCGTTTCTATCCTGGCCCTACCATTTAGTAGCTGTGTGACCCTGGACAAATCATTTACATTTTACAGCCGAGATTTCCTCACATGCGAATTGGAGATTTAAAAAAAAACACAAAACACAACTATCTCAAGGAATATTCTCACCTGGCGACCGGACCCCAGGAAGCAGCAGCAGCTACAGCAGCAAAGATGCAACCCCAAAAAAGCTGCAGCCAGGAGTCCACCCGAATCACTTGTCCCCGCCCCCGCCCTCACCCGGCTCCAGGATTGGGCCACTTCTGTCATTCCTCGCTCTGATTGGCTGTTTCGGTTCTGCTCAAGCAGGAGATGGGGCGTGAACCCCTTTGCTGCCAATCAGCGGTAGCCACTGCCTAGGTATCCGCAGGGGTACGCCGCCCACCCCGCGAACCCACCCGCCTGCGGAGCGTAGCGGAAGAGCTCCGGCCTCGGATTCAACCCGGGGCGGGCGGACGGGAGAAACTGGGGGAAAAGAAATCGAGATTCTCCCGCTGCTGAGAGTGGTCTCCGAGCCCGCGCTGCGCGGGAGTGACGACATCCGTCGGCGCCAGCAGCCGGAGCGTTGTGGGCGCCAGGTGGCGGGCGCCTGCGCAGTGGCCCCGAGCGGGCGGTTGCTGGTTGGTTGTTGTAGTAACCGGGGAAGCAGCCGTCCGCGGCCGCCGTGAGCCGGGCTGGGAAGGAGGAGGGAGGTAGGCGCTGAGCGCGCTCCCCGCCGGCCCGCCCCGAGCCATGGGAAGATGAGACAGGTAAACGCCTGCGCTTGGCGCGCTCCCCCACCCGAGGGAGGTGCGCTCCCGGGTCTGGGCGGGCGCCGTCCGCTGCATTTCCCGCTCGGAGTCCGGGGGCTGCGGTAGGTTTCCGGGCGCGCTGGGCTGAGGCGCTGTGGCGGAGCTGCCCGCGCCCTTCCCGCGGGGGCGCATCGGCGGACCTGCCCCGCATTGGGGTGAGCCAGGCAGGGGTCGGGCTGAGAGGCTGATCCCTTTAGCTGCTGGGCGAGTGTCCTTCACCTTATTGCGAACGTCCTGTCCGGTCTCTCCCCGCTCTGCAGGCAGCCTGGTACACAGTTTTAATGGAAAGGACGTGCCAACGTTTGGGGAAGATGGAGAACATCCCATTGGGGATCCTCGGAAGAACGCCTTTGGGGGTTGTTCGCTGTTGCCCATTCCGCTGGAGATCTCTAGGGATCATTTGCGGGGGGGGGGGGGGGGGGGGGGGGAGCGGCATTTTTGGTTCCTTTTATAATTTTTACAGTATCTGGGAATGCAGAGCAAAACGAGGTTTAGAGAGATTTACATCAAGTGGTTATCTCTGAATTGTGGGATTATGATCCTTTAAATGTTTTCATTTTCTTGATCTATTTTCTATTCCTTAGGCAAATACAGCAAACATATACTTTTACCCCCTGGATAAATTTTAAGTTAGAAATGGAAAACATCCACATTTGTTAATGTCTTTTTGAGATTCAATTCATGGTTTGTGATTTTTAGCAAGGGGCAGCCGTTTTTGAGTGTTTGGAAGGACATTTTTTCTCCCCGGTTATTTATGACCTCGATTCCGGAGATTATTCATCTTTTGGCTCAGTGGTTGAATTTTAGTGAAAATCTGACGGCATTTTATCTGTGCGTTTGTCATAGAGGCCACATAAATATTTACAACTATTTTAAATCTTGAGTTTTTACTTTTAAACCAGGTCAGATTTTAACAGCAAGGAATGTATGTTTCAGGCAACCACCCACTTATCTCAGACTTCCCTAAAAGTTAGATAAGTCTGTCCTTTTGGTGCATGTTCGATACTGTATATAAAAGAAAAATGAAAAACTCAAACTTAGTAACAGTTCTTCAGATACACAGTGGACAGACAGTATGTTTGGGCAAAAAAAAAAAACACAAACCAAAAACAAACACACATACATACACACACACACACACACACACACACACAGAAAAACACACAAAACCTTGGGGGGGCATATGTGAGCACTGTGATAGAAGGTAAGCACCTAGAGGTTGAGCACTAGTGAAGTAAAGATTCATTTTCATTGCTTGGAAGATCATCAGCTATCATGAACAAATAGACCTTGCATCGTGATTCAGATCATGTGGCTTTCCTACAGGTATCTGTGCCACCCAAATTGTTTGATCCAGTGACTCTGCAAAGAAAGGTCTTTGAGGCCCCCCGTCTGCTGACTGCATGACAAACCCTAAAGGAAATGCCAATCGTGATGGCCCGGGACCTGGAGGAAACAGCATCTTCCTCAGAGGATGAGGAGGTGATAGGCCAAGAGTAAGTAGTAGCCAGCCTGCTTTTGAACCTTTGCCTCTAGGATGGGAAAATAGTTCTCGTTTACTTACACACATTGTTTTACCCACTATCCTTCCTTTGGTGTTGTCTGATTCTGGTTTTAGCTTCTATCCATGATCTAACTAAAAATCTTATTATTTCATCCTTATCTGACATGAGATATAAGGCTCTGTGATTGACCAAACACTGGTTCTAGGTGTTCCAGCTAGGAGCTCTTAGTAAACTTCTGATCAGAGCTTCTAACATAGGAGATTTTGGAATACTTAGATAGTGAAGAAAAATAGGTCTCCAAACACTGTGATACTGGTTATGCTACTTTCTCAAAATTTTTTACAATGATGAAGTGATGATAATAGAAAGAGGCCAGGTGACTTACAGAGTCATTGTGGGGCCTTACATTAGAATGCTATAGCCTTTGCTGGGTCTGTTGAACGATAGTGCTTTTCTGAGTTCTTTTATGCAAGGGACTCAAAATAATAGAAATGTAAGTGCTAGTGGTAAGAGCAGCTGCTATAGATGATGATATGGGCTTTAACTACTGTATTTCATTTAATCTGAAGATGCCATTATTCCCACTTGATTAAATTTGTCCTCACAAATACCAAAGGACTTTCTCAGGGATGTGTAGAGAGTAAGTGATGGATTGGGATTCAGACCTAGTTTTACTGAATTTTGTAGCACTTTGCTATTCTGCCTCCTCCAACCTTATTACTTGACAGAGAACAAAGAGAAAAGCTGGCTTACAGTTAAGAAAAATAAGATTTTCTGCAGGTCCCCTTGGATATGTGCTGTGTCACCTGAAAAATGGGGATGATATCTCCCAGGCTATTTTGTAGGAGTGTGTTTAGGATCAAATAGAATAATGTTTATGAAATTACTTTGTAAATTGTGAAGTGTGGTACACACATAAGATACTATTCTTACTTGCTTTAATATTGAGCTTAAAGTGGACTTCTTATTACAAAGTGGAAGATTTCATTATTTGATATTATAATTTTAGAAAATTATTGAAGCATTAATAAAGCTTTGAGGAAAGGCTTCTCGTCACTGTTAGGTTGTAGAAAATAACAGAGATTTGATATTATATTTGGGTCATCCTTATTCAGGATAATTAAATGGACAATTCCTTCTGGCCATTTGCCTCCTATGACTTCTTGCTTTCTGTGTGCTGCCTCCTACTCATTTCATAAAATTTTAACTTCTCCAAGCATCACTCTTTCTAATTTTAAGATCTTTGTTTTACTCCATAAATATTTTCCTGCTTAGTGGGGTTAGAGGTTGGCCCTGACAAGGATGTATTATATTAGTTTGAACCTCATGAAATTGCCATTTTGGTAGGTCAAAACCAGTCAAATATTGACAATTTCAAATAGTTCAACCTAGTATTATTGTAGGAACTCAATAAATACTTGCTGACTGAATGAGTGAACAAACAAATGTATGATTTAGATCACATTAGATCAGACTTTCTTAACCTTTTTAATGTTGTGGGTCCCTTGTCAGAATATGTTTAAAGTACTTAAAATTAAATATGTGTCATAAAAAATACCAATTACATTGAAATGCAGTTATCAAATTATTTAAAAAAGTTACTTGTGATAGAGTAAGCTGCGCTTCCTTATATATTACAGTTTTGTTTTCTTGCTTCTTTTGTGCTTTCTTATACATTAAATAACAAGATTACTCATTTAAAATGTGGGGAAGTTACGTTTTATTTTTCTAAAGACAGCAGCATGAAGACTGTTTTTGCTTAGTTTGTGTAAGATCATTACACTGTGGTGTGGTCTTTGATTAACACTTAGAAGTGGGGAATGCTGGGACCTTTATACATGTCTGGACTACCAATGTGTGATGTCACCACTTGGTAGCTTGGAGGAGAGATGCTAAGTCATTGTCCAGCCTCATCACACCAGATGAGGAAGACTGTGATCACAGGTATCTAGTGGCAGGTTTAGTAACTAACACAACTTAGAAGTAGTGATAAATGTAAGTGATGTTTTAATATACTGGCATCACCTGTAAAATGGTATAAAAATCTAATTTCGGACCATTCTAATAATGCTGTGCTTTGCTGCCTATATTAATAATTGAGAGATGTTAAATTTCTAGTAAAAATTAGTGAAATAAAGTGTAATATTCCCCTCCCCCCATTTCCCCTGTCCCCCCCCCAAATTCATGGACCTTTTGAAGTTTCTTTATTTTTTGTTTTGTTTTGCTTTCTTTCACACTCTTACTATTGAATTTCAATGGTTAATCTTGCTCCATCAGCTCATCTTGTCTGTTAGACACTTGTTTTATACATTAGGAATCTTAAGTCAATCTTGTTCACACTTAGAGCAACAGGCTTACATTTAAAATTTTTTTTTGGAAGTTAGAAGGCCTTAAATCATCTAAGAAAGTTGATTTGATCCTAAGATGCATATCCAAGGACATCTGTTAGATCTTCTCAATTCCTTGACTGTATTAAAGTAGTTAATGCCTGGACTTTAGGACTAGAAACTGTCCAGGCAGTCCTTGTTTTGCATGGCATTATTTCAAATGGTAAATGTAAAAGGGGTTCTTTTTTCTCTATTTTGCTTGGGGGTCCCAAATACAAATTTATATACTATAAATATGAAAACTTTCATAAAAAGATTTGATGCTGCTTTTGTCACTGAAAAAATAGTAACTCTAATTTCTCTAATAAAAACAGGCTTTGTATCAGTTGAAAAGATCATCAACATTTACTTGGAAAAAATAAAAGATCATGAACAAGTGATTATACAATGAGTGGTCCAGGAGTTGAGAGAAGGAAGGCATCACTCGGGGCTGGGGGAGCGGGGCAAGGCCTTGGAGTGTGGGATTGAATGTACAGAGACTTGGGGAAGGCATTTCCAGCAGGGACAGCGGTAGTAATAAGGGTGGAAGTTTGGAGTTATGTAGGCTGCATCCCAGGAGTGAAGACTAATACATTCCTCATGAAATTGCTTCTTAAAACCCAAAGCGTTCTTAGGTTCTCAAAGTCAACCATAAAACTGGTCTACTTTGATAATTAATCATTCAAATATGCTGTCCTTTCATGCCTGTAAGGCATATTTTCTTAATCTATTCCAGTTTCTGGTGCAAAAGAAAATTTAAGGTCCCAATTTTTAATTTCCTAATCGGAGGACTCGTATCCCTTTAGCACCACCTGGTGGGAGCATGGCAATTGAGCATCTGCCTTAAGTATTTTGTAGTTGACCTTATTGAATTAATAACTTGTCTACTACCTCTTTTATCTCTGTTATGGGTTGTTAAGTGAAGAGATTTCTCCTTCAGAGAAGTGGCTTTCCACAGAGTGTAGTTAGGCCTTGGCTCTTCTCATCTGTGTACCTGCTGTGTGTGTTCTGATTGCCCTGCCTTATCACAGTGATCCATTGTGTGTAAGTGATAAGGCACAGTGGTGTCAGTTTGTAGTTAATGCCAGGTTGACAAGGAACTTTGGATAGTTTCCAGAGTTTCTATAGTTTCCAGAGTTTCTGTCCAAGACTTTGGATAGGCAGCCTATTTTCTCCCCCTCTATCCTCTGTCTTAGAAATATAGTGGAAAAATTAAAGTTGGAAGAGATCACAGGAATAGCTTGACCCCCTTACCCACCCTATTATAGGTGTTTAAGATTAAAAAAGCTAGCAAAATAAAAAAAATCTTTGCCAAGAAATGCACCCTGTAAAACAGCATTTCTCACAAGTGGGCACAATCACCCAGGTCAAAGCAAGGACTTGAAGCATCCACATTCCATTTCTACAATACAAAGCAGGAAATGAGCTCGGTATGGTGTTTTCTGCTTTTCTCACTAAAAGGCTTTTGGCAGCTCATTCCCAAGTCTAAAGGCTGCCTTCTAAAGTTGGTAGTCTGTAGCCTACTCATTCAAAGTATGTATATTTTTAAACTTGGGTTGGGAGGGTCTGACTTGGCCTTGAGATTTGTGGTTAAGGATGTGGCCATGTGATTTTTTGAGAGGGAACTGAATCTTGGCTCAGTGTGTCTTATTCCATTTAATAAATTTAATAGTTTAAGTTCCCAAAGAGTTGAGTTTAAGGTGTTCCACATACAGAACATCACCGAAATGTAATCAGGGTGATGGAAGGATGGAAAGAGCACAGACGTTTGGGTTCATATATCTTTCCTTTACTCAATTGGGCAAATTACTTAACACCTCTCTGAACACCTTTTCCTCAGTTCTTAGTGGGGGCAATAGGAGTAAGTGAGATAGCATGAACGCTCTTAGTTTATTTCCTGGCACATAGTAGGTACTCAGGTAATTTCTTTCCCATTCTACCTTCCTGCACTGAGGAGGTTCAAGTTTCCTAATCTGTTCGTAAATTGATTAAACTGATATTTTATGAGGCTAAGGAAAGAAAATAATTCAAGAGATCCTTCTCGGGAGGAAAATATCGGTTTTTGCATTTAGTAAAGCTTTATTTAAAATATGTGGTTTTAATTGGGGTACTGGTAATAATTTGGTTTCCTAGCTCAGAATTTTAAGATGGGTCATCAAATGACCTTAAAAAATGGCTCTAAAGGCTGGTGTGGTTCAGTGGGTGGTTGAGCATTGATCCATGAATCAGGTCATGGTTTGATTCCCCATCAGGACACATGCCCTGGTCTTGGGCTCGATCCCCAGTAGGGGTACACAGGATGCAGCCAATGGATGATTCTCTCTCATCATTGCTGTTTCTTTCTCCCTCTCTCTTTTTCTTTCTCTAAAATCAATAAAAACATTAAAAAAAATGACTATAGGGTTTCAAAGGGATATATAAATTACCGTGAATCTATTTGTTAGGATTCTTTATGTATACTGGGGACTAAAACATAATTGTTATTCTTTGTCTTAAAAATAAAGGGACTTCATTCATTCATATTTAGGGAAGACTTGATTCTGCAGCTCTAAGTGTGCTACTCAGCATCTCATTTCTCTCCTTTTAATCAAGCTCCCGCTGACTTCCTCCTTTACTAGCATCTCCAGATTCTAGGAGATGTCAAGATCACAGAATGATAGTAGCACTTCCAGCCCTCTCAGTCTCTTACACTGTCAAGGGGAAGAGAGGCCATCTCTTCTGTAGCTGCCAGAGAAGAGAAAAAGCATTGCTTTGTCAGAGGGTCTCACCACATGTCATCTGACCTTCACTTGGCTCCAATTGGCTTATGTGCTCATCCCTGAAACAGCCACTATAACTGGGGGATAGAATGTCCTAATTGGCTGAAGCCAGTCAAGACTCGTCCCGGGATCAGTGATGGAATTAATTTTAAACAAACCACATGGCTAAAAATGGAAAATGAATGTTTCCCATAGGACATTTAGGGTTCTTGTTTCAGAAGGAGGGTAAAGTTTTAAACAGCCAACCGTAGTTATCTGCTTCAGCAGTTAATTCAGATTTTGAGTTGTAAATTAATAAAGCTTTTTGCTATGGTTGTAGGGATCATCCATGTATCATGTGGACTGGAGGCTGCAGGAGAATTCCAATTTTGGTATTCCATGCCGAGGCAATTCTGACCAAGGACAACAATATTCGAGTAATTGGAGGTGAGTATGACTTCCCCACAGATGGTAGGGCTGGGGCATGGCTCTTGCAACCTTGTCCTGCAGAAATTGACAACTATAGATAGAGAATTGGCCTTGGCCGTGAGAAGACTATATTTATTATACTTGAAAGGATTATTAGCATTTCTGGAATTGTTTTTTGCATATTATTTTTTTTTACTTTTGAATTTTTTTTCAGAGTTAAGTATACATGTGCTTATTATTTTATTATCAGTTAAAATATACAAAACAAAACTTACTGTTTTAGAGTGCACAATTCAGTGGCATTTAGTACATTTACAGTGTTGTGCAACAATTATCATTATCTGGTTTCAGAACATTTTTATCATCCCAAAAGTAAACCCTGTGCCCATTAAGTAGTTAATACCCAGCCCCTGACTGCCCCTAATCTACTTTCTGTCTCGATGAAGTCACTTCTCCTGGATATCTATAATAATAAAAGGGTAATATGCAAATTGACCAAACGGCCATTCAGACATCCTTCTGAACTACCTTCCAGAAATCGGAGCTGAAACCACTGGGGCTACATCCACTGTGGCTGTGAGGGAGGGATCCAGGCAGCCACCACGACTGCAAAGGCCTACTCTTGAGTGAATTTTGCGCATTGGGCCTCTAGTTTTATATAAATGGAGTCATATAATATGTGACTTTTTGTGTCTGGCTTTTTTCTCTTAGCATAATGTTTTTAAGGTTCAGTCATATTGTACATGTGTCAGTACTTCATTCTTTTTTAAATTTATTGATTTATTTTAGAGAGAGAGGAAAGGGGAGTGAGTGGGAGAGAGAGAGAGAGGAAGGGAAGAGAGAAACATCAATTTGTTGTTCCACTTATTTATGCATTAGTTAATTCTTGTATGTGCCCTGACCAGGGCTTGAACCCACCACCTTGGGGTATTAGGGCAACACTCAGGGGTAACTGAGCCCCCCACCCAGGGCAGTATTTCCTTCCTTTTTATGGCTGAATAATATTCTATGTATGCATATACCACATTTGTTTATCCATTCACCAACTGATTTCTTCCTTTAGGTTATTGTAAATAGTTTCTACCTTTAGGTTATTGTAAATAGTGCTGGTGTGGACATTTAAAATGTTTAAGTTTTTGCTTGAACATTAGTTTTTCAATTCTTTTGGATATATACTTAGGAATGGAATTGCTATATTGTATGGTAATTCTATGTTAAACGTATTAAGGAACTGCCAAAGTGTTTTCCACAATGATTGCACTGTTTTACATTTCCATCAACAATATATAAGAGTTCTAATTTCTCTGCATTCTCACTAATGTTTATTTTGTGTGTTTTTTTTTTTTTATATTATCATTGTATTAGTGGATGTGAAATATCCTTTTGTGGTTTTGATTTGTATTTCCATAATGACTAATGACATAGGGGTGTCGAACTCAATCAGAGAAGGGGCCAAAATCTAAAATCCAGCCTAAATCACGGGCCGAATGGTTTACTGAACAGTCATAAACTGTCATTGTGATGGAAACGCAGCGGAGTGCAGTGATGACAGCGCGGTGCGGGCCACATTGCAAGGCCTGGCGGGACGGATTTGGCCCGCGGGCCTTGTGTTTGACACATGTGACATAGAGCATCTTTTTAAAAATATAAATTTTTATTTATTTTTAGAGAGAGAAGAAAGCAGAGGGAGAGATGGAAACTCCATTGGTTGCCACTTGTATTCCTCTACTGGGGATTGAGCCTGCAACCCAGGCATGTGCCCTGACTGGGAATTGAACCAGGGACCTCTTGGTGAATGGGTTGACGCTCAACCCCCGGCTGGACAACATAGAGAATCTTTTCATGTACTTGTTAGTTATTAATATATCTTCCTTAGAGAAATGCCTATTCAAGGCTTTGGCTTAATTTTTAATTGGGTTGCTTGTCTTTTTGTTGTTGAGTAATAAGAATTCATTAACCATTCTGAATATTAGAACTTTATTAGATATATGATTTACAAATATTTTTCTGTGGTTTTTCTTTTCACTTTTTTGATAGTATTTTTTCATGAGCTGAAGGTTTTCACTTTGATAACATCTAATTTGTTTTTTTTTCTATTGTTGCTTATATTTTTGGTATATTTATGAAACCATTGGCTAACCCATGGTCATGATCCCCATGCTTTATTCTAAGAGTTATATAGTTTAAACTCTTGTATTGGAGATAAATGGCCTTTGATCCATTTTGAATTACTTTTGTTACATAATGTGAGGTAAGGGTCTATCTTCACTCTTTTGCATGTGTATATCTAGTTGTCCAACATAATTAATTGAAGAGACTGTTATTTCTCTATTGAATGCTTTTGGAACTATTGTTGAAAATCAGTTGTCTGTAGGTGTATGGGTTTATTTCTGGGCTCTTAGTAGACCATTGATTTGTATGTTTAGCCTTATACCAGTACCTATCATTTTAATTACTGTACTTTTGTACGAAGTTTTGAAATTGGAAAATGTGAATCCTTTAACTTCGTTCTTCTGTTTCAAGATTTCTTTTTTTGGTTATTCAGAGTCCCTTGCAATGCCATATGAATTTTAGGATAAAGCTTTCTAATACCAGCAAAAAGGCCTTTGGAATTTTGATAGGGAATGCATTGAATCTATAAATTGCTTTTGGGAGTATTATCATTTTAAAAGTTTTCCAGTCCACCAACAAAGGATGTCTTTCCATTTATTTGGATCTTCTCTAATTTCTTTTAGTAGTGTTTTATAGTTTTCAGTGTACAAGTCTTAAAGCTTTTTGGTTAAATTTATCCCTACATAATTTATTCTTTTTGGTACTATTATAAATTGAATTGTTTTCTCTATTTTATTTTTGGGTTGTTAATTATCAGTGTGTAGATTTTTGTATATTGACCTTATATTCTGAAACCTTGCTGAACTCATTTATTAGCTGTAAGTTTTGTGTGTGTTGGGGGTTCTTTTGCATTGTCTATACTGTATATAAGATCATGTCATCTGCCAGTAGAGACCATTTTTCTTCTTTCCTTACAACGTGGATGCCTTTTGTTATCTTTCTTTGCCTAATTACTCTGACTAGGACCATGGCCGGCAAACTGTGGCTCACGAACCACATGCGGCTCTTTGGCCCCTTGAATGTGGCTCTTCCACAAAATACCATGGCCTGGGCGAGTCTATTTTGAAGAAGTGGCGTTAGAAGTTTAAGTTTAAAAAATTTGGCTCTCAAAAGAAATTTCAATCGTTGTACTGTTGATATTTGGCTCTATTGACTAATGAGTTTGCCGACCACTGACTAGGACTTTTAGTACAGTGTTGCATAGAAGAGGTGAAAGGTGGATCTTTGTCTTGTTCCTGATCTTAAGGGGAATGCTTTCCAGTCTTTCACCATTGAGTATGATGTTAGCTGTGGGCTTTGCAGAATTCCCTTTAGCATGTTGAAAACATCCCCTTCTAGTCTTTCATTGAGTGTGTGTTGTTTTTTGTTGTTGTTTTGTTTTCTTTTTATCATTCAAGGGTGTTGGATTTTGTAAAATGCTTTTTCTACATCATTTAAGATGATTCTGTTTTGTTTCCTTCATTCTCTTAATGTGGTGGATTGCATTGATTGGCTTTTGTATGTTGAACAACCCTTTCATTCCTGAGATAAATCCCATGTGGTCATGGTATTGTCCTTTAATATGCTGCTGGATTTGGTTTGCTAGTATTTTGTTGATAATTTCACATAGTAATTATAAGAGATATGGGTTTGTGGTTTTCTTGTGATACCTTCATCTAGCTTTGTTATCAGGGTAATGCTAGCCTCAGAGAATGAGTTCCCTTTTCTTTGGGAGAGTTTTAAGGATTGTTATTAGTTCTTTAAATGTTTGATAAAATTCATCTGTGAAGCCATCTTATCTCATTTCATTGCTAATAAAGTGGAGATAATACCTATTTTGCAGGCATTGTGAGAAATACATGTTACTAAATGTTTGGCACATAGTACACACTCAAAACTTACTTTACTTGTTGAATAGAACCTGCTGTACTTCGAGATTAATTTAAGGTCTGATCTTGCCATAATGAGCCAAGGGTTTAAGAAGATGGTGGGATTGAATATTCCTCTCTTCCTAGGGATCCTTGTGTTATAATACCCTCAGCAAGTTGCTAGGTTACCACTTAAAGGGACATGGTTCATTTATATTCTCTGAATTCTGAGCAACTGAAGAGTTGCTAACGTTTACTGAGAAACACCCTCAAAATAAAAATATGACATGAGTCAAAATGTCAAATGTTGGTTTGAAAAAAACAGAAGTAAATAATTCCTTCCAAACATACTTTTTTTTGAGGTGCTTGTCACATAAATTTATATATTTCATGGCAATGAGCAGACACGTCCTTTTTATTTTTTTAAATATATTTTTATTGATTTTAGAGAAGAAGGGAGAGGGAGAGAGAGATAGAAACATCAATGATGAGAGGGAATCATTGATCTGCTGCTTCCTACACATCCCAAACTAGGATCGAGCTGATAACCCAGGCATGAGCTCTGAACGAGAATTGAACCGTGACCTTCTGGTTCATATTTCAACATTCTATCACTGAGATACACTGTCTGGGCAGACCCTTCCTTTTTAGAATACCTAACATATACTGGAAATTAGCACCCATCAATGTAGTATTTCCATTACTCAAGCACTGTAAGATTTTAGGCTCTTTTTTTTTTTTTGTCTTCCCCACATTCCTGTGATTAAAGAAAAAGCCACTAAATTTTTTTCTCAAATTTTGCTTTTGAATTTTCTTTATCTTCCTCATTCCTTGTTGTTTAATAATTTTTTTTCACCTTCTGTTATGTGAAGAACAGTTTAAATGACTTTTGTAGTTGCCTCAGATTTCTGAATTGTTAAACATTCTTGGCCTATTTTTTCCTCTCTGCTCTCCTAAATAGCTGACATAGGTCTGCTGAGATCATAATCCTGTGGTTAAATCCTCTTGGGAAGTGTATCTGGGGCATTAGTTATCTTCTGTTGATCTCATGTTTGGTGCCAGCCTTGTTTGTTCTGTTATCTAGTAAATGTTTCATTGCATTCACTGTTAAAATTTTTGGTTCAATATGATTTCATATGCTTTGTTAAATATTCTAGGAACATATTTCTTCCCCTCACTCGATCCTTTGTTCCCCCCACAAAACTGAACATGTAAATGGGATGTCGTTTTATAGGCAACAGATATTTTCAGTTTAATCTTTTATAGAATGAAGTATAATTTTATAATTTGCCTCTAATGTGTCAGTTTCATAATTTGCATTTGTATAGCCCCAACCTATAGAAATATGATGTACACTACATATGTAAAATTTCTAGGCCTCATTAAAAAAGTAAACAGAAATAGGTGAGATTAGTTTTAATACATTTTGTTTAATCCAAAATACCTTTTCCACATTTACTCATTATAAAAAAATCACTGAGGTAGTTTACATCCTGTGTATTTTACATTTATAGCACATGTTAGTATGGTGTAAAATTTTTATTAGGAGTACTTGATCTGAATTTATATTCCATAAATGAGCCCAGCTGGTACGGCTCAGTGGTCAATCATTGACCCATGAACCAGAAGGTCACTGTTCATTTTCCAGTCAGAGCACATGCCCGGGTTGTGGGCTTGATCTTCAGTAGAGGGCATGCAGGAGGCAGCTGATTGATGATTGTCATAATTGATGTTTCTCTCTCTCTCTCTCTCTTTCTCTGAAATCCATAAAAACATATGTTCCATAAATGTTATAGTTGAAAAATCAATTTTTATACTCAGGTTGTTCCAGACAAATTTTCCAACTGAATTAAATTAAGTAAAGTTAAATTTTTAAAAAATCAGTTACTCTCTCACACTAGTCAAGTGCTCAGTGGTTACACATGACTAGTGCCTACCATATTCAACAGTACAGCTGTAATTTTCTGACAGTAGGGCAAGCTACATATGTTGCCATTGAAGGGGTTAATCAGTTTATTTTTGTCTCTACAGTGAACTTTCTGGTTACTGAACTTGATTCTGTGTTTTTCTTTAGAACGTTATCATTTGTCTTACAAGATTGTGCGAACAGACAGTCGCCTGGTACGCAGCATTCTGACAGCCCATGGATTTCATGAAGTAAGTTCATTTTGACTAGCTCACCTAATCTGTCCAGAAGCTGAAAATCCTAGCCACCTGATTCACAGTTACTTACCCATGCCAACACTAGAAAGTACATGAGACCAATGCTTAGTGGTGATAGGAGAACTTGCATTGAATTCCATGAAATACAAGGAAGACATTTCCACAATTAAAAGCTTGCTTTTTTTTTTTTTTTTACATGCTAAGTTTATAGGCTTAGGCTAGAGGCACAGTTGTCCATAAGGAATTGTTTGTTACCCAATTAAGGTTCTTTGATTGCTAACAACAGAAACAGACTGTCTAACTTAAACCAAAAGGGATTTGTAGGAAAAGTGTACCTAAGATGGTTAGCAGAATCAGGAAAAACTGAAAAGGCAGCCTTTGGAAGGAGAGAGACGGGACAGCTCCAGGAATCTAGGACAGGAAGCTTCAGGACCATCTCCTGTAGGCATTGAAGGTGGAAGTGACTCAACTCTATTTGTTGTCCTTGTGCCTTTCTTCACTCAAGAACCATATTCTGAAGATAGAATGACTGACCCAGCTTGGGTCATGGATTCACTTCTTGGAGGAGAGAGGGACAGATGATTGGCAGGTCCTTTAAAACCAAAGAGTATGTGATTCCCCAAGTAAATGGGGAAAAAATGGGATATTGACATCAAAAGGGACAGGCAAAAATGCTGGACAGATTTCCACTATAGGGATTTTTGTTGTTGTTAATCCTCACCCAAGGATATTTTTCCATTGGTTTTTAGAGAGAGTGGAAGAGAGGGGAGAGACAGAGGGAAAGGAAAACATCTATGTGAGAGAGACACATTGATTGGTTGCCTCACCGGTGATCAAGCCTGCAACTGAGATACGTGCCCTTGACTGGAATTGAACCCAGGACCCTTTAGTCCAAGGGCTGGAGTTCTATCCATTGAGCCAAACTGCAAGGACCACTGTAGAGATTTTGAGACAATTGATAAAGGTATGCTTGCTAGCTCTTTATCCTAGGTTGAAGTCTGAATTAGGCATTTTGAAGTTCTGGTACCAGTTTATATTCTGTCTTGCTGCTATTTTATCTCCAGGTCGTAATTGGCACCTACCACATCATAGGCACAGAATACATAATTGTTTAATGAATGTACAAATAAATTATTATGAATGACCGAATGAGTGGATTCTAAGTTGGTTTGCTACTATATAAGTTTTTACTTCTGATCAGTGCTTTTGCATCTGCAAAAACAAAAGGTTACTCTGAAAAGGGAGTTTTGGAGTTGGGCCCTTTTCTCATACTTTGATATGCAAAAATATTAAGAGATATTGTGGACTTCTATAGAAGGATTAATTTATTCTACTTTAAAAATATGTTTTATTGATTTTTAGAGAGGAAGAGATAGAAACATAGATGAGAGAGAAACATCCATTGGATGCCTCTTGCACACCTCTTACTGGGGATCAAGTCCACAACCTGGGCATGTTCCAACCAGGAATCGAACCAGTGACCTTTTGGTGCATGTGTTAGTGCTCAACCACTGAGCTACACTAGCAGGCTATTCTACTTTTTATGTCTGGGATTTTCCCAATCTCCAATTCTTTAAACTTGATTATCCCCATGTTCTATGTGTTAACTTTTGTCTTGCTAGGCTCACATCCTAACTGGGCCCCTCATGAGTACTCTGTGGATGAAAAATCTCTCTAGCCTTTTCTGCATGGCTCTTCCTGGAGAGGGGTTATCTCTGACGTGTTTTATCTTGTCCTTTTATCTGTCCTCAGGTTCACCCAAGCAGCACTGACTATAACCTAATGTGGACAGGATCCCACCTGAAGCCCTTCTTACTTCGCACCCTCTCTGAAGCACAAAAGGTTAACCATTTTCCCAGGTAATGCTCTTATAGCCACTTTGCTCCTTTTAAAGGCACCTGACATTGTCATAGATTTAAATATAAAACCTAAAACTAAAACTTCTAGAAGAAAACATAAAAGAAAATCTGTGAGATCTTGGATTAGGCAAAGAGTTCCTAGAGATAACAATAAAAGTACAATCCATGCCCTGGCTGGGTAGCCCAGTTGGTTGGAGCATTGTTCCATACACCAAAATGTTGCGGGTTCGATTCCTGGTCAGGGCACTTAACTTAAATTGTGGGTTCAATCCCCAGTCGGGAGGCAACCTATCAGTGTTTCTTACATTGAAGTTTCTCTTTCTCTCCTGCTCCCTTCCTCTCTTTCTAAAATCAAATAAAAAAGTGTATCCTTGGATGAGGATTAAAAAGTAATAATAATAAATAAAAACCTATACACAATTACTTATAGTGACTTTATTCATAATCTCCAAAAAGTGGAAACAGCTCATGTGTCCTTGATTGTGGTGGTGGTTACATAACTGTATGTGTTTGTTCAAATTCAGAATAATTCACTAAAAAAGGCAAATTTTACTGTACATAATGTATACTTTAATGACTAAACCTGACCAAAGAAATCCATTTCATGAAAATGATGAAAAAACCTTTGGGGTTGACAGTGATAGGTTTGGGATCTACTGTTCTCAGTGACTGCTCTGGAACTGTGAACATGAACTCTGCAGGGTGTGATAACACTGGATCACCTCTGAGTCGGAGTTGACTGAAATGGAAGTACTTTTATGATTTTTAGGTCATATGAACTAACCCGGAAGGACCGACTGTACAAAAACATCATTCGGATGCAGCATACGCATGGATTCAAGGCTTTCCACATCCTCCCTCAGACCTTCCTGCTGCCAGCTGAGTACGCAGAATTCTGTAGTAAGTGCTTTGACTCACTGCCCATCCCCAGGAACTGAACTTGGGGCAGAAGGACCTCAAGGGTTGCCTCAAGTCAGTCACCAATCAGGGTTTTTCAAATCCTTAAAAAACTTGTGTTTCTTTAGTAAAACAGCTACAGAGATAACTTTAAAACGGTTTTTATTCTGTGTACCTGTATATTCATTCTTAGATAGGCTCATCAGTATCATTTATGTAGGACACATTGGTGTCATGTAAATGTGCTCTAGTCTTGTACACAGTCTCTTCTTCATTGACAAGAGTTAGTGCACATGCAGGGATGTATGTACCTCTACATGTAAACTACATTTCTATCCTCTTTGGTGTCTCTTTTCCTCTTGCCATTTAGGGAATATTCCTGTCCCCTTCATTTCTGGACTTATTTGTGTGACTTGTGTTCTTTGAGGTAGCAGTCTCATGCATCTTTTGGTGTTTAGCAGTACTGGTTAGAATCAATGTTTTTCCTTGGAGTTCACACTAATTAATTGGAAGGCATCCTTGGGAGCCAACTGGGAATCCAGATGGCAGCTGTGTTGCTGGTCACTCTAGATAGGAACATGGGGCCTGCATCCATGTGTCAGTGGGTTTCTTATTTCTTTTGCCTTGAGGTGAACTTACCTTCCCAGGTATAAGCAGAGGAGTGGGCTGTTTCAGGCTTTCCTTGGGGAGCAGAGCCTGACTCAGTGGGCTTAGTGCACAGGTAAGGTGTGAGGCAGGTCTGGGAGAGTTTAAATAATAATAACACTAATAGTTGACACTTAGTGAACATTTTCTTCCTATCAGGCCTTCTTCTAAGTGGCACCTCTACTCTGAGATAGGTATGTTATTGTCCCCACCTTTGCAGATGGAGAGACTGAGATACAGAGAAGTAAAAGAACTTTGTGCAAATGGTAGGAATAGAATTCAGACCTAAATGTTCCATATTATTTCCTATTTGGATATTTGAGATATGTTACTACATAATAAAAGTTAAAAATTCTCTAATAAGCTGGCCACAGTCTGGCTTCAGGGGCCAGGCTTTTCACCACTGCACTTTATGGCTAAAGACCCGGGCAGTTCGTACACAGTGGTCATTTCCCAGTATTGCCAGCGACAGAAGTCACGTCTGTGAGGAGGATTGGATATGGTAGAGGACCGGGTGTGACAGAGAGGAGAAACACAATTTTCCTCTGGATAAGTCCAAGGGAGAGCCTGTTTCTGTTTCAGGGTAGAGGAAGCACGGGGATAGGAAAAGCAAGGTCTCTCTAAACTTCCTGACTTTGGTACTTTTACCAGATGGACTTAAGAATCTGGTCTGGTTACCCTGTGGAGTGTTCTTCTCTGGGACTTAGGTCCTCAGGGATGGTCCCAGGCTCCACCTTGAGGCTGCCATTCCTCTGATGGCACTATTGCTGGGTCCACAGGTTGGCAGTTCAGTGTTTGCCCACGGAGGGCTCTGAAATGGGTCCGTAGTGAGTATTAAATAGATGAATGAAGTTAACTTCAATACTACAGTGCACTCAACTGAAAATCTGCAGTCAAGAATTTTTATGTGACTTTAGCCAAGTTACTTAAACCTCTCTTGTACTTTAACTTTCTCCTCTGTAAAAAGACTGTTCCCAGGACTGACCTTATAGAGTTGTTGGGATGTTTAAATAGGTTAACACATGGAAGCACTTGGAATGGTGCTTTATAGGTGCTCAATAAATGTTCAGTGTTACTTCCTATTTCAAGTTATGTTGAAATATACCAATACATAATAAAAATTAAAATTTCTGTAATAAGCCAACACGATAGCTTGAAAATGCTTCAACTAACAGGTTGGCAATTTAAAACAGTTCCCAATATGAACTCCTCCTGTTGTTGGATTCTTGGTGAGAAATTAAGTCCAGAAAAATGTCCTACTAAAGACTAAAGGAATGTAAGTTGCTATTGCCTATTCTGCTGTTCTTCCCTACCCTTTGGGGGGAAGCTCATTCAGCTGATTGGGTAGAGTTAGGGTTCCTTCATCAGTTCCAGCCTGACCTGTCTTTCCGTAGAATTGGTCCTTCAGCAATTACTCAAACTTTTATGTGTTCTTCTTTTAACAAATGTGAATTCAGAAGGTCAGTAGAACACATAGAATTAATACAGCTGCAACATACAACCACCACATTTAACCCCAGGGCAGTTATTGCAGGCCCAAGTGTACCTCAGTCCCCCAAACAAATCACCCATTGCCATTGCCACCCAACAATCCCAGCAGGGACTCACGCAGTTTGTGGAAGAGGGAAGGCAGGGAAGATGTGGTAGCGAAGAGGAATCTCCTTGGTTTCAGTCTTGCCAGGGTGTTAGTCATTTTTTGCCAGTTGTCCAGAGTTCATGACCTCTAAACTTAAATCCACTGGGAAGAAATCCAACACCATTAGGTTAATTGTGTTGTTAAATTTACATACAAGGGACAAGCCCATCGATTTTAAAGAGACATTCCCCTTTTTGATAAAGTCTGTTTTAAGTTCTCTTTTCCTTTGGTGTCTGCATCACATGTCATAACTTGGAAATTTCGTTTTCTCCATGACTTTTGTGTTCTGACCCTCCAGTGCTTACTTGAATGTGGGCAATAGAAGACTTTCAAGAAGGAAAAAAAGGTGAACAGGTGGCCTTTACAAAAATAACTGCATGAAATGAATTAGAGGGAGCAGGGGGCAGAAACACAGTGGTTACTTTGAAGATTATTGAATAATCCAGATAGGAAGTGTAGCTAGACATAGCTGGGTGGCCAGAATGGAAAGAACAGAAGGGTCAAAGATATCTCCAAAGATGTGAGTCTGGAGAGCTGGGAGCATCATTACATCTTTATTTAGAGAGTGGAACCAGGAACATAAAGGATGTTAAAGTGGGAGAGTATTAAATTTTGGACGAGGTTTGGATTTGAGGTGTCTGTAGGCATCCATGTCATGATGCTTGGCAGCAGTCGTAAAGGCAGTTTTTAGTTTGCCAGTTATATAGATTCTGGTGTTTGCAGGTATGGAGGTGGATATGATTACCAAGGGAGGGAAAAATAATGAGAAGCCACACCACAGAGAAATCAGAGGGGAAAGAGCTCAAAGTTACAAACAATGGGTTGACGTCCCAGAGAAGGCAGGAGAGGGTTAAATCAAGAGCCCCTGTGGAAGGTGAGCTTTAGGAAGGAGGTGGGCATGTCTCTCCCCTAAAACAAGGAAAGGAAGAAGGCCAAGTGATGACCCAGATAAGATTTTAGATAGCAATGCAGGTGAGTGGGTTTATGAAACAAATTCCCAGCCGTCTTGGGGTAGAGGGTGATGATTACACATGCAGGAATGAAGGGCCTACGGATGGGTTCGGGTGTTTGAGAGGGACAGAAAATTATGAAATTAGCTTGTATAGGGCCTTTGAAAGAGAACTGATAAACAATGGGCATGAAGATTGCCTAAAGACGCTGAGATATCAGCCAAGCTGGATCTCATGAATTTATGACTTTTGTTCTAAGAAGAGAAAACCTTAAACCCATCTCTGTAGAGATCTAGCCCAGAGACCAACCACTACGTAACTCATGAGATGTGAAAGCCTGGATATTGCTACCCTGTTTCCCCGAAAATAAGACAGTGTCTTATATTAATTTTTGCTCCCAAAGATACTCTAGGTCTTATTTTCAGGGGATGTCTTATTTTTCCATGAAGAAGAGTACGGTACACATTTATTGTTAAATGAAAATAAAGGAAATTTATTACCTGTATATGGTACGGTAGTTGTCAACACAAACCAGACAAACTGTGAATCCTACAGTATCAAGAATTTACTCATTTATTCAATGACAATCATGTCATCATCTTCTGGAAAATCATCATAACAATCCAATTCCTGAATTTCCTGGTGAAATTTCTTGTGACTCCATTTCTTTCAGAATCAGTGGACCAAATTTCTCATGTTTAGCCTAGCGGGGGCCTTATTTTCGGGGAGATGCCTTATATTTCACTCAGAAGGAAACCTGTAAGTAGGTCTTATTTTCGGAGGATGTCTTATTTTCGGGGAAACACGGTACCTCAAGAGTTGTGAAAGCCGGATATTGCCAGTAATTAGAGTGAGGATTATAAGACTTCGGGTGCACTGTTGCTCGTTGCAGTGTGTAGTAGAATTGGAGGGCTGTGGCCTTGAGGAACCTAGGACTCTCTGGCAGCTCCAGCCACATGTGGCCCAGTGGACAGCTTTCTCGGCCGGAAGAAGGAAACAAAGACAGGGTGGCACCACTGTCAGAAAAGCAAAACTTCTCTCCCAAACCCAGCAAATTGCTGCTTACTTCTAATTGGTCATAATTGTGTCCTGTGGTCACCTTCAGTTGTAAGAGAGGCTGAGAAATAATTTTAAGGAATGACAAAATTTTGACTTCTCATTAATTGCAGTTAGCTAGATTTTAAAGCAGTCAGTAAATTTACAGAATCGTAATACTTAGCATTATAAGAGAACTTAGCAAATCAGACCAAACCCCCTCATTTTGAAGATGAGACTGGACAGTTTATTTTTAATTTTTAATTTTTTCAATTACAGTTTACTTTTAATATTACTTAGTATTAATTTCAGGTGTACCACATAGTGGTTAGACAATCATATGCTTGCCAAAGTGTTCACTCCTGTATTTCCAGTACCCACCTGGCACGCTAGATAGTTATTACAATATTATTGACTGTATTCCCTATGCTGTACTTTACATCCCCGTGACTGTTTTGTAACTGCCAATTTGTATTTAATCCCTTTACCTTTCTACCCAGTCCCCAAATGCCCCTCCCTCTGGCAACCATTAGTCTTTTCTCTGTATCGATGAGGGACTGGATGGTTTAAGCCAGCGGTCGGCAAACCTTGGCTCTCGAGCCACATGCGGCTCTTTGGCCCCTTGAGGGCTCTTCCACAAAATACCATGTACCCTAATTAAGTTAATAACAATGTACCTACCTATATAGTTTAAGTTTGAAAAATTTGGCTCTCAAAAGAAATTTCAATCACTGTATTACTGATATTTGGCTCTGTTAACTAATGAGTTTGCCAATCACTGGTTTAAGCAAAGTTCCCATAGTGTAAAAGCCAGAATTCGAATCCAGATCTTTCTACCTCTGGTCCAGAGGCTTTTCCATTAGACTGCACAGGCTGCCACTGTAGAACCTGGGAGACACTAGAAGGCTCGCAGACTCTGTGTAGTACGTCCTTATCTTGAGAGGCTGACAAGCTTTGCCACCTGCATTTGCCTCGTAACCATGTTTTTAGAACCTAGAAAAAACTCAGTCTTTGTTCTGAAATATAACACATTAAGGATAAAAGCCTAATGTGAAAGACAAATCTTTGGTATTTGGAATTTCAACAATGTGATAAAAGTGAAGCACCGAAAAAGCAAAAACTTCTGATAAGGCTAGTTCACAAAATAAGATTATTACACTGTTAGGTGCAAAAATTGCATTTAGCTAGATTTTCCCTTTTGTGAAAACGAGAATTTCATTAATGTACTTGCCATTGTAGAGGGCACTGTCCCCAGACAGTTTTGGCTATTTCCTTAGGCATTCCTATGGCACCCTACCCTTCGTCTTGATGACTCAGAGTGTGTCTGTACTAGTAATTACTTGATCGATGTCTGCCTTTGCTACTAGTCTAATCTCTGTGAGGGAAAGGCTCTCTTTGTCACTACTGCATGGATCGATCTATCACCTAGCAAACTGACACGGATTGGGTACTTAGAAGTATTCAATGAATGAAGGTTAGAAAATTTTGTAATTTTTGTTTTCTTTCACTATTAATAATTTCTTCTGTACTCAACTCATTGCCTCCTTAGAATCTGGGGAAAATGGCAAAATGGAAAAAAATATATAAACTATACACATACACATATTCAGTGGCTTTATTTTATAGAGGCTTAATTTGTCTTATATAACTACTAGAGGCCCCGTACACAAATTTGTGCATGGGTGGTGTTCCTCGGCCTGGCCTGCGGTTGGGGCCGATTGGGCCCGTCTTGCCCCGTCCTGATTGGGGCTGGAGGCCGGGGAGAGGGGCCATGGGAGGTTGGCTGTGGGAGTGCACTGACAATCGCGGCTGCTTCTGCATTGAGTCAGTGCATGTCATAGTGACCGGTTGACCAGTTATTCTGTCCCTTAGATTTTTATATATATATAGATAAGTAAGTTATCTATTGTAGGACTTTATTAGTAAAGTTGTGTAATTTATATATTTTGAAAGGGAGTATATTCCCATGGTACAAAAAAAAAAAAAAAAAATTACAAAACAATAAAGAAAAGCCTTATTTTTCTTTTTTCCTCAGACATCCACCTCTCCTTCCCAGAGGTGATCAGTGTTCCTAGTTTTACACATGTCCTCCTAGAGATAATCTGTGTGTTTGTAGCATATAGCTTGAGTGTGTATGTGTACAGATGGGAGCATGCAATATGCATTGCCCTGCACTTTCTTTCCTTTTAGTCACTGAATAGCCTATCTTTGAGATCATACTCTGTTCATTAATAACATTCTCATTTTGTATGTGTGCTTCATATTCCATTATATAGATCAGGTGTCTGTAAACTATAGCCCTTGAATGAAGTCTAGTCTTCTGCCTGTTTTTATACATCTCATGAGCTATGAAAGGTTTTTATGTTTTTAAATGGTTGAAACCAAAGAGAATAACATTTTATGGCATTTGGATATCATATGGAATTCAGTGTTCATAAATAAAGTTTTATTGGAATATAGCCTGCCCCTTCCTTTGTGTATTATTTATGGCTGTTTTTGAAGTACAATGGTAGAAGTGAACAGTTGCAACAGAGATTGCATGGTCTGCAAAGCCTAAATTGTTTATTATCTGTTTTTTTTTTTAATAGTTCCTTGTCTATTTCTAAAACATTTTTTTTACTTATTTCAGAGAGGAAGGGAGAAAAGAGAGAAATAGAAATATCAATGATGAGAGAATATCATTGATTGACTGCCTCCTGCATGCTCCATACTGGGATTGAGCCTGCAACCCAGCCATATGCCTGCCCTGACCTGGAATCAAACTGTGACCTCCTAATTCATAGGTTGACGCTCAACCATTGAGCCATGCTGGCAGGATATTATCTGTTTTTTGTTTTTTTTCCCAAAAAAGTTTGCTAGCTCCTCAAATAGATGCAATATAGTGTACTTAATTGATGGACATCTTTTGCTACTATACTGCAATACTTCATACATTTATAAATACATTTCACATGTGTGAGTAGAACTAGCGGACATATTTTTGGAAGTGGAATTGCTCATGGTGTTGTAAATTCTTTGTGGCACATTTCATTTTTCCTAATTCAATTAGGTTGCATCAAGGGAAAAGCAGGGGGAGATGGGGGAAAGTGGGCAAGGAGACCTACTTTTTCTCCTCCTGGTGTAATGGTTTGTTAAGTGCCTGTTGGAGGCCTTGAAAAGTCAGTTTAGCTCATAGCGAAGGGAGAATTCTTTGTTCTTTCTTTTCTTTGGTCTTTTCACTTCTAAGCAGAGCCATCTGCAAGCCTCGGTGTCTTGCTTGGTTTCTCTTCCCATGATCCAGAGATGTTTAAGGTGTAAGCCTGAACTAAGAAAGGAACAAGAGAAAACTACCTTTTACTCACTTGTAAATTCGTGTTTTTCCTTTCCACTTGCACATTGTTTGGTTTTAGGTGACTTTTTTTTTTTTTTTTTTTTTTTTTTTACAAGCTCAGTAAAATTGCTTAAGGAAAGTGATCATATTATGATATCTATCATTGACACTGCTATTGTCTGCTCTGTTAGCCTCTGGAGGTCCCTTAGTTAAGGGAAGAAATAATCGCAAAGATTTATGAAGGTTGTCTGTGACAATAACAGATTATAATCCAGTTATTTGCCTTATTTTGTTAAATCCTTTCATTCAAGAAAGGAAATGGTCTCTATCCTTGTTTCATTTTTAAGACTAGTAAAAAAATACAGGTTATTTTAGCTACTGCCTTCCACTTAGAAATTTGGAAAATTCTCTGGGTACCTGAGTAGATAACTATTGTTGAAATTTAAGTTGATAATCTCATGTCCCTTCTTTCTCTTTGTTTCTCTCTCCCACTTTTTATCTCTCAATATTTTGAGCAGATTGCTATTCAAAGGATCGGGGACCTTGGATAGTAAAACCAGTGGCCTCTTCTAGGGGACGGGGCGTCTACCTGATCAACAATGTAAGTATCCAGCACAACCTCTGCATCCTGTTTTTCCTGCGCACCCTTTGTCCCAGCTACTAACATGGTACCTTTCATTAAGAGCAGATGTTCCCTTGGCAAATCTGCATTCCGAACTGTAAGTTGAGTGTGGATATGAGGTGTCTATTGACAGTAACTTTCCATAACAATAGTTACTCTGTGGCTGAAAAGTTACTTGATCCAATTTTGGGGAGGGTAGCCTTTGGTATCAAAAGAGGTATCTTTTCTGCTTTCAGGATACTGTCATGTGGATTCCTCATCACTAAGTATTAATTAATAGCATAAACATTTAGTTTTTATTGAGCAGAACTGTGGGATCTTGCCCTCAAGGTCTTCAAGGAAATTTACCCAAATCAGTATGGCATCCTGTTGCACTTCCCTCCTTTCCCCCCTCCCAACCGCCTCATCCTCTTATTTTTTCAAAATTTATTAGTATATTGATTCTTCAAAAAATCCTCATTAAAAGTTGTTTTTAAGTTAAATAGAATAAAATTCCAACCACAGTTTCGCTCCCTAGATTTACAATAGTAGTTAGTAACCTAATGTAATTGGATTATGTTTATTCTTTTTTCTCAGCTTTGCATTTTGTTTGTTAATTCCCAGTTTGATATTTGGTGTACTCGTATCATCTCCTACCTCTTTCTACTTCTAAGTTAGATTACTTTTTATTATTTTTAACGTTTTTAACATTTACATTCTCCTCAGTAACTATGATTTAGTTTCTCGGGTTTATAAATTGGATACAAATTTTAAACACAATAGAAACTTTATAGCATGGAATTCTGAAATTTAACTAGTATTTTAGTTGGGGTCTTTGTTAATTCTTCTTCCTGGATGTTTGGTCAACCTTTTTCATATAGAAACTAGTAGTATTCCTTGTTCAGGGAAAACTACCCTCCCCTCGACTCCCTCCCCTTCCTCCTTTTTTTGTCTTTGTTTCTACTTCTAGAACTCCTTTTTGAGGCAGACTGGGTCTTTCCTTCATGCCAGCTTTTCTCTCATTTTAAATTCTGTCTTTCCACTCTATCTTCTGGATCACCAGTTGGATTTCTATCCATTTATTTATCTCACTTACTGTATTTCTATATTGGCTATCGTAGTTTGCAAAAACTCTTATTTTAGGACTTGCTTTCTTATTAACAGCTATTGTTGCTTAGTGCTGTTTGTCTGCTGGTCTTTCTGAAGATAGCAGTTGAAAGTTTTTTAAAGTTGTCTTCTGTTGTGTGAATTTTCTTAGGGATTGTCTTATTTTCTTCCTGTTGGTTTTTCTCAATTTCAGTAACCTTAGGTGTGTTGAGTCACATTTATGAATGGAAGACGAGACTGACTGAAATTGACAACAGGCCTGAGTTTCCCCCACTGTTGTGTAGGACCGATTTCCTGGTAGCTTCTGCCTAGATAGGAGGCTGTTGGAGTGTTGGGCAAAGCGTGTTGACTGTCAGGCTGCACCTTTGGTGGATGTGAGTGAGGAGCATGGCTCTCTTCCTTCCCCCTCGACCCCAAAGCAGGGCAGCCTTATTTTGAAGGTACAGGGAGATTTGAGTTAGTAGCAGGTATCACTCTTTGAGATCCCTGCACTCATACAGCTGTCCTCCCCAGAGAACCCTGCTTATTTCCTGAGGACCATGCGGTGGGTGTTGGAGAAGACCCACTGGCCTCTGTTCCAAATGCTGCGTGTTAGTGACCTGCCCGGCTCTTGATCCTGGCCCACTCCTGCTCCCGCTTGTGCACTACCAGCTTGGACCTTCTCCCAGCCTCCTTCGGAAGATCATGCTCAGCTCTGAAATCCTGGGCAGGGGCATCCTCTGCTCTGCTTTCTCAGCTTGATTCTCTCTGCTTTCTATCTTTCAAGATCTCCTTAAACTTTTGGTCTGTTGTTGGTCCTTGAACCAATTTCTAGTCTTGTTCTCAGTTCTTTCTTTTAGAAAGTATCTTCTTTGTCTTTCCAGTGGGGCTCTGGGAGGAAGATATGTTGTGTGTGGGATCAGTGCTCCATCTTTATTTTTAATATATTTTATTGATTTTTTACAGAGAGGAAGAGAGAGGGATAGAGAGATAGAAATATTGATGAGAGAGAATCATTGATCAGCTGCCTCCTACACACCTCCTACGGGGGATGTGCCCACAACCAAGGTACATGCCCTTGACCGGAATCGAATGTGGGACCTTTCAGTCCACAGGCCGACACTCTATCCACTGAGCCATACCTGTTTCAGCTCAGTGCTCCATCTTAAACCTCCCCATTCTCTTTCACATGATTTGTGCTATTTCTGTACACATAGAAACTAACTTTCTGAGGGTCTTTCACATTGGGAAGTCCATTCAGACTGGACTAACAACTCTATTGTGAACACTGCAGACATGTAGGATCTGGTTCTGATACACCAGCTATTGCAGCCCCAGGACCAGGCTGCCAATCCTGTTACCTGGCCCTGAATCACTCCAGAAACTTTTGCTCTGTGTCTCCTGTGACAGAGGCCCTGGTCAGATGCTTTGGATGTTTCTTTTCTTGTCTCTGTTCTGACCTTGGTGTGAGGGCTCCTGCCCAATAGCTTTTCCTTCAGCTTTGTGCCAGGAATTCCAGTGTTATTTGAATCTCATAGACAGCACTAGCTTGGGTTTGGGTTTGAGTTTTAGCTGCCAAATGGAATTACTATTGAAATTCAGCGGTGGTATAAGTTTGCCTTTTATTTTCTTAGACATGAGTCAAGAAGAATAGGATCTATTCCCAGCTCATCTGGGACTTTTTTCTCTTGGAATGCTCTTTTGCCCTGGTGATTTGTTATTTTAAAACCAACATCACAAAGGAGAGAAGAGTTAAACTTTCCTTGTGGGGCTGAGAGCCCCGTGCTCTGACTCCTCCTTGGATTCTGAGTCTCATAAAGGGGGTGACAGGCCTGTAGAGAATGCACTTGGCAGGCTCTCCTCCCTCCCACCTCTCCCTGGGCTGAATCCCTGGAGACCCCCTGCATAGATCAAAGAACTTGGCTGGACCCTTGGCCCCCCTCCTCCTCAGAGAAGCATTGGAATGAGTCTGATTCTTTGAGGTATTTGGTGGAGGTGCCAGACAGAAGCCTGGGAAGATGCCAGCAGGCACCAGGGGAGCTGGCAACATGTGGACATAATGGGAAAATATTCCCATTTCACTCCAAAACTGGAAATTTATCACCTTTTACCCAGACCTTAGAACCATGTAGTTAATACTCTTCTCTCTCTCCTTTACACACAAGGCCTAACCATCCCCTCTTTTCCATACCTGGATCCTTTCCCATGGAATATGTGACCCATTAGCCAACTGGATGAAGTAACTATTTCCAAGGCTGCTGCCTGCTTTCCTTTTAGGTTTTAGGGAGGAGGGAGTGCTCCGGCGGAGGGTCTTTGCGCAGCACTAATGAGAGTGGGTGAGGGATGTTGTGGGGCCTGAGTTAAGTGTGAGGGCCAAATGAAAACATCATTCCCTGTCTTCCTGCTGGGCTGAGAGGGCCTCTTATTTCACATTCCCAATAATAGTCTTAACCTTTTGGAAAATCTCTACAAATAGCAACTTTTACCATTACAAGAACAGGATAAAAGACAGACAAAACATTACTTTTATGTACTAATGGAGAGAGACGTGCAAGCTCCTACAGATGGAAGCATCTCAGCTGATTGGCTAACACAGTCTCTTAATAACGGGCTCTTTAACTCTGGAAACACATCATAAAGGAACAGAGTTGTTTTTGATCCAGCTCCTTCAGTAACTGTGACTAAATGCCATATTTTCCCAATTTAGTATTTTCAGATCGAGGAGGGGAAAGATCTGGTGTTTCCTGATTAGGGTATGAATTTGATTATAGAAGTCAGGTTTAGTCATCCTTGTCTCACACATTATCCACGGTAAACGCAATGTGAATATTTCCCTGATGTTTTAAAGAATCAGAAGTGTATTTAGGTCACTCTTATACTTGTGAATATAAGTCTGCACAACTCTCTTGTTTCTGTTTGTTTATATGTTGTTATCTTATGTGCTCTTTATTTTTTCTCATTGTTCAACAGATATGTAGGGAGTGCCTGTGGTGTGCCAGATACTTATACTCCTTAAAAACCTTTTGAGAAATAGGGACTCTCCTAATTCTTATGGATCTTCATTGTAACTCAGTGCACTGCTCTGAGTAGAATGGCATGTTGCATGCTGCGATGAATGCTGCTGAGTTATGGAACTTAGTAAATAGAACCACATAGATACTATAGAGTTTGCAATAGTAATAGCAACCAGATTTCGTGAGCATTTAATATGTGCCTACCAATGTGCCTTTCAAATATAATCTCATTTAGTTTTTATAAGAACCTTATGATGAATTCCTATTATTTCCTTAGTAAGTTGTAGGATCAAAACTGTAACTCAGATCTAGCAAATTCTAGAGGATACACTTTTTTATTTTTTTAAAAAATTTCTTTATTGATTAAGGTATCATATTTGTCCTCAACTCCCCATTCCACTCCCCTGCATCTAGAGGATACACTCTTAACCAGTGTACCGTTCTACCTTACAATGACCTAACAGATACCATGAACTTTAGTCTTAAAGTCCAGTTAGAAAAATAAATGTTTCCAACTTCTCCAACAATTCACATTCTTGCTTTCACATACTTTGGAGGGCAGTTTGAGCTTGGAATGAAAATCATTAAAAGTGAGTTAATTGGGGATTGAGGAACAGGTTTGAAGATTTGAAAAAGCTTTCATTAGTTGCTTACTAGTATATAATAGTATATAAGGAAACTATACCCAAGCCATTCTTTTCTCCTCTGAGCTTACAATTTCCCAATGCAGATAAAAAGGAGAGCTACAGGCCATTGAAAAAATAATGTAAGAGATTATGTTATACATAACTCAAAGGATAAATATGTGTTAGGAAACTGGTTCACAGGAAAGGTGAATGCTCAGACATCTACTGTAGCCTATAGGTGTTATTCACTTGGAAGAGAGCTGTAATTGTTTCCTTTTGGAACGGCCTACAGCTTGCTGCTTTGTACTGTGATTGTATCAATTCTTACTAAGCCACTGAGATAGTACTTGTGAGAAAAGGATCATGGAGTACAAGGGAGTCGGGAAATGCTGTGGGTGACTGAGTCCTTGAGGATGAATCAGCACTGGTGTCCATATGATGCATAGGCTGGGAAAGTTGTGTTCTGAGCTTGAGATAGCAGCAGTGGGAAGCAGGAGGGGGATCTCATCATCCTGATGAGTTGCTCATCGTGGCTGTGTAATGTGTCACAAAACTATCCCTATTTATGGTAACTGTAGTATTTGGGATAGAAAATGCATTATTATCAAGACAAACTTTTGAATTTGGTGGACAATTATTTTTAGTTCAGAACTTTAGGGCTTAAGAGTTAAGCCTCTGAGGCAGACCTGGGTTCAAATGCTTCTCCTGATCACTTATTAGCTGTCCGACTCAGAGCAGGTTCCTAACTCTCTGACTCTCCTCATCTCTAATATTTGAATGGTGATATACCTACCTCATGGACTTAGGTGAGGATTAAATGAAATAATACTTGTGAAGAATTAGAACAACACATAGTAAATGTTCAATACATTGATTAAAATCTCATATTTTGCTGCAGATGTTAATGGTTATTTCTATTGCTGCTGCTGTAGCTATTATAATCACAGTTATTACTATTGTCACTTTCCTTTAGAGTTCTTTGTCCAATATGGATTGTGGTGACTTCCAGCTGACTTATGTCTTAATGTAATCTCACATGGAGTTGTTCTATTCCATATATTTTAATCTTACCATTTTCGTAAGACTCCACAATCATTTCCTGTTTTCCACCATGTTCGACCTAAATTCGCCTTGCCAGAGGTCCAAATCCCTTTGCCAGTGGGGTCCCTTTCTCCTTACTGTCTGTCTTTCATTATTTCTCAGTTTAGTCTTTTAGCCCAGGTCAGTGAACCTGCCCCCTCTCCGTTGTGCGGGACTGAGTGCATGCCGTCTTCCCATGATGGTCTCCTATCCCTTCCACCATGTGCTTGATAGCTTTCAGCACTCACTTCCACACCTCCTTTTTCAGGTCAAGCCTTCCCTGACTTGTCCCACTTAACTATCTTCCACTTTGCAGCCTCATATGTTCCACTTGCAGATATGCTCCTTTGTGTTCTTTTATCTGTTTTGCTGTCCATCTACCTAAATATTAAATTCTTTGGGAGTAGGGAGTAGGCTATGAGGGCAGGGATTATCTGTTCACTTCATCACAGTATTCCCCAGTGCCTTCTATACTATCCAGCAATACTCATAATAACTTATTGTAAAAACAACTCTTATTGAAAGAAATTTCAAACATCTAGTTCCATCTTGACATATAGTGATATAGCAAGTACCATTGAGGGAGTCAGTGAAACATCCATCCTGTTTCACGGGGGTAAGATCTGTAAATTCTCTAAGCAACTTGATGAAAGCTTTTATCTAAGAATAACGGTAGCATTTAAAAATTTGCATCATACTTTATGTTTGGGAGAAAGCAAGGTTTTATTTTTAAGTAGCTTTTATTATCTTGGCCTGTAACTATAATATCATGTATAGAAATCTTTAAAGCTGTTTAGACTTGATTTATTATCTGAGAGATGCTGTATAAACTTATTTCCCCCCATTGTAATTGGAAACCTATAGTGTTTATGGAAGTGGTGGGTTATGTGGCCAACTGAATGTATGGGTAGCTTGGAAGAAAACTTTATTCTTAGAGTTTTAGTTTTCTACATTATCATTTCTCAGAGATTAAGAACTTTGTTCCCATACTGTAAGCTAGAGTTTCTTTGCATTTCTGTCCTTTCATTCTTTTTCTTTACTCAATAGCCAAACCAGATTTCCCTGGAAGAGAACATCCTGGTCTCCCGTTACATTAACAACCCCCTGCTCATAGATGGTGAGTTTTCGCTAGGCCCTTGCCTCGATTGGGTTAGATCTTGTTAATTTTTAATATTTATTATTTATTATTTATTTACTGGAGGCCCACTGTACAAATTTGTGCACCCGTGGGATCCCTCGGCCTGGCTTGTGGAGATTGGGCCAAAACCATCTCTCTGACATCCCATAAGGGGTCCTGGATTGCAAGAGGGTGGCTTTTGGGTGACACACCCCAGAATCGGGCTCCCTCCTCTCTGGTTACAGCTGCATCACCCAAAAACTGCAGCTGCCAAGTCACCACAGCTTGGCAGCTCCTACATTGAGCGTTTGCCCCCCTGGTGGTCATTACATGTCATAGCTACTTGTTGGACAGTTGCTTAGGCTTTTATATATATAGTTAGGTTTATTGGGATGACATTGGTTAATAAAATTATATAGGTTTCAGGTGTATAATTCTATAATATACATAATCTGTATATTGTATTGTATATTCATCACCCCAAATCAAGTCTCTTTCCGGCACTTTTTATCAATTCTACACCCTCTTCTTTTCTCCCTCCCATCCCTTTTCCTCTGGCAATCACTAGTAAGTCTTTATTAAGCTAATATGAAATTCTTAACAACTATGGCTTTAGAGGCTGGTTCCTTACCTACCTTATGGGATTATTTCAAAGATGAAATGAGATAATAAAAAAGAAAGTACTTTATAGGTGCTATAATAACAAATATATATGAGAACTGTACAATATACATGTATAAATTCTCATATATATGTACAAAATGTATAATTATTATCCTCAAAATGCAAGGGGTGTGGACAATGTGTATTTTGTGGGGAGAGGGGGGTTATTTGTTTTTTCATGTTTCTTTGTTACATTGTCCTGTTTATTCTATAACAAAACAAATGAACTTAGTTTTTCCTGTGAATTCAATTTTTTTTTTTTTTTAGATTTCAAGTTTGATGTGCGCCTCTATGTGCTTGTGACTTCCTATGATCCTCTTGTCATCTATCTCTATGAGGAAGGATTGGCTAGGTAAGAGACATGTAGAGGGAGGGTGTTTATTAGAGTGGACCAATTAAGGGGTATATTAAGATCAATTTTTTTTCTGTTATGTTTAACTCAGAAAAATAGAGTGTACCCAGATGGTTTTCAGGTTACTTTACATAGGCACATGAATGAGCAGTTTTGCATATGTAAGCACATATCTTTCCTATCAGTGATCCAGGATCACATCCTGTTTTCATGCATTGGCAGTTGTTCTCAAGACCTATGGTATTAAGATAATTTGTTGCCTAGCTGGTTTGGCTCAGTGGATAGAACATCGGCCCTTGGATTGAAGGGTTCTGGTGGGTTTGATTCCGAACAAGGATACGGATCTCATTTGCAGGCTCAATCCCGGCTCTGGGTAGGGTGTGTGCGGGATGCAACCAATTGATATGTCTTCTCACATTTGATGTTTCTCTCTCTCTGTCTCTCCCCGTCCTTTCCACTCTCTCTAAAAATCAATGGAAAAATATCCTCAGGTGAGGATTAATAAAACAGAACAAAAAGGATCATTTGTCGTCGTTCTTCAGAATTGATCTAAAAAGAATTAAAAATTGATCTAAAAAGAATTAAAAAAATTTTTAATTCCAATTAAAAAAAAAGTGTCCCAGATACTTTCTTTAATGCTCACAATAATCTTACAGTTGATGCATTTTTGCAATTGAGGAAACTGATTAGAGAGGTAAGGGAACTTGAAGTCACTTTTCTGAGGTTTCCCAGCAGGTTGGCATTGGAGCAAGAGTTTGGATTTCTGGATCTGATTCTAGAGCTCAAGGCCTCTTGTATTTAGGAGGTATTAGCTGCTTTCTCTCCTCCTTCTCCCCCCCCCCCCCCACCTGCAAGTAATATACTTTACAATGGTTGTATTATTTTGTTTTTTCTTGTGGTCTTTTTTAGGTTTTATGGTAATGTAACTTATAAAATTAACTTCAAATTATAATAATTGGAAGTTTTGTTTTCCATAAGCAGATGATTTTAGAGGTGACAGTATTTTCATAGACCCTTTAAATTGTTTAAAATGAGCATATAACTTTGCTTATGTTCTTCCCCCAACATATACAGGGGTGGGAAAAGTAGGTTTACAGTTGATTTTATGGAAAATAATAAATAATGATACAAGAATAAACTCTGTTTCATATAATCACAACTGTAAACCCACTTTTGTCCCACCATGTGTGAGTGTGTGTATTTTTTTTTAATCAACCTGCTTTCCCTGAAATTCCTTTTATGCATTGGCCTTACATAACAGCAGTTTAGAAGGTAGTTTGCAATCTGTGAGCAGTCATGGCAAGCTATAAAGCTTGGTCTGTATGTGTTTTTTATTTTAGAAAATGTACTTGGAAGATGGGAAATATAATGGTTAAAAGAAGCCTACCTATTGAAGTATTATAGTACTCTGACAACTGTTACTTTAAAATGGTGTTTTAATTATTTCATAAATTCAAATTTTTTTAATGCATCCTTTGACTATAGTCTGAGGGTGATTTTGGCTGGTTGAGCCGTTTCTTCCCTTCACCTCTAGGTGGCAGTGACAACATTTATATGCCCTGTCATATTTTTAACTAGATTTATGTGTTTGAGCCCTAGGAACTCGGAGGCTACTGAAGCTCCCTAGTTCTGGCCTCTTGTTTCTTGAAAATTGTCGATTGTAATTAAAAGGAGTCTGGAAGCTTTGGCTAGAAATGAATGTAAAACATTTATTCAAGGGTCTTAGAGTTTGCAAACTGGGAACACAGCTAGACAAAAACCCCAGAAATGTTCCAAAGAAGAAAGAAAAGTTAAGATTTCTTATAGTAAAAAGTACACTCTTGAGAATTTTCAGTCCTGCATTCTTAGCCCTAGGATTGGTCCAGGATGCTTTTCTTTCAGATGTCAGGTAGCCTAGATGATAGATGCCAGGTGGTCTGGAAGGTGGATCCCAGGAGGTCTGGTCACATGCTAAGGTCTGGTTAACGGATGCCAGGTGGTCTATGTGAGCTGTTGAAGGGAATAATCAAATATATGGAGGTTCAGTGTGTATGTCCAGACATATATGCAGGCATTCATACAAGACTGGAAAGTTAAAAAAATTTTAATTTCCCAGGCTAGTTAGAACAAGAATAGAATCTTTCCTCATGCCCCAATCTTCATATTGTTAATAATTTTAACAGCTTGGTTAAAGTGATTCCATTTTATATAGTTCCTGTGTTCACTCTTTCCTCAAAATTGAGGAGGGGAAAACTACTATAATATTTCTCAGTTTTTAGGTAGAGGGTTGAGCCAAGTCCTTGATCACATACTACTAGCTCTAATCAGATTCATAGGAAAGAAGTTGTCTGTAGTGTTTGTAGACACATGTGCTGCCATTCTTTGAAATATAGGTGTAAAAGCCAATTCCCCATATTATCTAAAAAAAAAAGAAGAAGCTAAAGTATACCTCTTCTACTTAGATATATAAGGTGCTGAGCATTTCAGTTTTTTTGTAATTTTAGATATCTGAGCTTTCTTATGTATCATGAGCTTTTTTCTCCTCTTCCCTCCACTAATCCTTATCCCAGCTTGTCTCCTGTTCCCTTCCCAGGAGTGATTCTGTCCTGCCACAAGTTGGACTTCTTGCATTGGGAAAAAACCCCTCAAGGTTACACTCACTATTTCTCAAGAATACCATACCACCTGGCTGGCATGGTTCAGTGGTTGAGTTTTGACTTATGAACCAGGAGGTCACAGTTTGATTCCCAGTCAGGGCACATGCTTGGGTTGTGGACTCAGTCCCCAGTGTGGGGCAAGCAGGAGGCAGCTGATCAGTGATTCTCTCTCATCATTGATGTTTCTATCTTTCCCTTTCCCTTCCTCTCAGAAATCAATAAAAATATATTTAAAAAAGAGAAAAGATCATACTAACATGTTTTACATATTATTTGAAAGACATTTCACTTACAATATTAATAGCCCTCTCTGTTGCTAAAATTTGGCATAGTTTTAAGACCTCAATGGTTCAGACACAGATTGAGAGCAATACCAATATTTATTACAGATATGCAAGAGTTTTGGCTACTTGGTATGTTCCAGAATCAGAATCCACTGAACTGAGTAGCTTTTCTTGCCTTCAGGGGAAACTGAGTATATATATATGTATGGGCAAAGGTAGGTTTATAGTTGTGAGTACACAAAACAGTGTTTATTCTTGTGTTGTTATTTATTAATTTTATTTTTTATTTGTATTACAACTGTAAACCTACTTTTGACCACCCCTATGTATTTTAAAATGCATGCTTTTTCTTAGAGTAATTTAGAGAACAGTTTTTCTAAAAATTCAGATCAAATTGAACCAAGAAATGGGAATTTTCAGGGCTTTGTGTCAGTTTACCTAAAAGTATAGGTGAATAAAAAAGCTCCACAAAAGAACAGTACATGATCACAGGTTATTAGCTAGAGTCCTTTGAGGGCACGTTGCTCTGCACAGTAACTTCCGTGTGCCTGTGCTCTGGTGTCTTAACTCACTGTATATCTTGGCATTCATCTGCTTCTCTTTAATCCTCAGGATCTGCTCGAGTGTGTCATTACATTCAACAATAGTCTATAGCATCTCCAGATCTGTAGCCTTTAGTAAATTTTGGCTCACGTGTGTTTTATGTAGACATTACTAAAGACAGTCAATTTGGGATGAGATCACTAAGCCATTTTACTTTGAGGTTCACCAAGGAAAACCATAATCTTCTCTAAAGAAACAATTGACAACAAATATATTTGATTTTCCTCTTTACAAAAGAATGGCCTTATCCCATATCACCTCGTTGGGACTCAAATTAAAGCTTAGTTGACAGCAGATTAAGTTAATTTTTTAAGTCTGTAAGTTTTTTTTACCTTCTAAACTTAGTGAGGAAAAAGAGCCTTAACAGTTTGTTTCTGTATTAATAATTTTAGTTGTTCTTGTTGTCTTACTAACATAGGAAGCAAGAAAACTCATTTTTTTATATGTGGGCAAAATGTTGAGGCATCTAAAAAAAAAAACCATCTTTCTGGCATCTGGGTCCGGCATTTTCCCCTGGAAGTCCGCCCTGCTTTTGAGTTGCACATGTATGTTGCTGCCTTGCACCAGCAGGGGGCACTCGCCTTCCAGAGAGGGTGGCATTCTCCACCAAAATGGTGTAGTAGATTCTTTTTCCTGTCAGAGGTGGAAACCAAAAAGACTTTGTCCTGGATTTTACAGTTTTAGGTGGATCCAATATGTGGTCTAAATGATTTGACTAGACCTTTTTTGAGACAGGGCCAATAGCTAAATTTTCACTGAAACAGGAAAAGAAAAAATTAAAACCCAATTAAGTTGAAAACCAAATTTGTTGTCAGAGACCTGAAGATAGGTAGGTCTGGCAGCTGGGTGAAATGAAGGTGCCTCTCCAGGAACAGGGAGAGAGCCACAGTGCTATGAGGGTGGGAGGAGAGGACCCTGAGAAGGTCCATGGGGACGGCCTCAGCCATAGTATTCAATGGAAATCCATAAAAGACCCCAAAGCATTTGTAATGCCTTTCCCTTCCTCCCCACCCCCAGTTCCTTCTTCAGTAGCCTTCTTTGCTAATTAACACTGGCTCCGTGGGGATATTTACCTTTTCTCTGCTGGATTCCTGTGGTTTTGAAAGAATTCAGGTACTTGCTGGTTGCCAAGGAATTCATATTACCTCACAGGCTGTACACTGTCCAGAATCTGCCGCAGCAGCAAGAAGGGGGAAGAGACACCAGTGAGGGGAGAAAACCGTCTCCAGTGCTCATTGTCACCCTCCCTGGCAGGCCCCTGCTGTTCGTGAAGCTTGAGTCATTTCTGGCTCCAAAGACAAGGGATCAGGCTGGTAATCCCCTCCCAGACGGCTCCGTAGGGTGCTGCCGAGTCACTGCAGCACTTGGCAGTCTCGGGGTTGCAGCTGGTTGACAGAAGATCAGAGAGCTCTTGGGCCTCTTGTTCTCTCCCATAAGATTTTTCTGGGTCAGGCGAGGATGAAACCCAGTGGCTTCT